CTGCGGCTCGTGACGATACATTGATGTGTAAAGACACGAAACGATGTTTTAAGTTGTATATGGTCATATTATTTAGTGGACCTGAGCTAACATGTAAATGTGCTAACAATGTACAGTTTCTAGTTTCCATACAGTATAACATTAGCATTAAAGATGAATAAATACTGTAGCAAATGTTTTGCTCATAGCTAGTTAATTTCAGTTAGTGCTTTAACTAATGTTGACTTAATTAGTACATGATGTTACTATATTATTATCTAACATTATTAATGTGCATTTAAATAATTAGAAGCAACTTGAATAAATTGTTTGGATCTACTGTGTTCCCAAAAAGCATTTGGACATTTAAAAATGTCAGGATTTACTTTAGATAACAACATATCAAATCCAGTGACAAAATTGTTTCCAGAAATAACTTTTTTTGAGATAATCTGTTATTGACATTTTATGCCACTGTAAACATTAAATCAAGGTGTTAAACCTGTTAAATCAAGGTGACTATATAGCCAGATCCTCTCAAGTGTCACAAAATATGACAACCAGAAAGTATCTTTATTTTGAACAATATATCAACAGTTTTAAAATTGTACACACAGCCCTTTTTTGTCAGATGCTTTTTTTTGTTGCATATTGTGTTATTTAAGACATTTATACATTTTGACTTAGTTTTCCAAATACATTTTGGACTACATATAATTTGAATTACTTACTAATTAAAATAATGTTTTTTAAATTATTTTTATTATTATTATTATTGTTGTTTTTTAGATATGACATATCCTCGATCATCTTCTCCCTCTGAGAATGGCCCGAGGTTTCATTCAGACCAGAGACACAGAACTCTCCCCTCACGAGTCTCTCGAGCCGAGCCTTCTTCAGCCCATCCTCGCGCTTCACCGCAGGAGTCCCGCTCTAACCAGGCAGCGGCCACTGGCGCCAGTCCTCACGTTGAATCTTCATCTGAGCGTGGCAAGTCCAAGCCGTCATGGAGACCAGTGCGAGAGGTCCTGAATGTAGACAGCGTGCTGAGCGAACTGGAACGCCGTCAGCAGCAGCAGCTCGGGAGCCCTCGATGTGTCCATCGCTTTGGCCACGAGAGAGGACTGATGAAGGAAAAACAAAAAGGTCTGATGACTATTTACGAAGATGACTTGCGTTTGGAGACTGAAAGTCAAAGCTCGCAGGAGTCTCAGCGACAGATGATGGTGACGAGGCCTAAAGGTGGAGCGCATGTAGCACAGCGGATCGATGACTGGACGATCCAGAGGACAGAATCAGGATACGAGAGCAGCGATAGGTTGAGCAATGGTTCCACCAATCCTGACTCTCCAGGTGTGGAGAACTTCACGGGCAAAGAGCTCAGACTCCGTCAAGATGCACAGCACCTCAGGTAGGAGAAATTACGTCGTGATAAGTGTGTAACTCGGATTCCTTGGTCTTGATTCAGTGATGTATTTCCTCAGGGATCAAGGCCATAGTAATCAAGGTGATGCAAAAACGGAGGCAGTGCGTTCTCCACTGTACCACAGTGAGTATTGATCATACGCCGTGGCATCATCTCTTGTTTACCCATGTATAGTCAAAATCATGGTTTCGACGCTGCATCGTTGCATTGACGTCTCCAACATAACGTCACCAACTACTTTGTTTTTAGAAGCTGCATGTCTGTATCATTTGTTCAAAGTGTCTCTCTTTTCTAAATTTAGAGCAAGAGTTTGAACTATAAATCATGAATAAGTATAGGAGATGTGTGCTCATGCCCCCGTTTTATACCTGGGGATGACTTAGGCGTAGCGGACTAATTTTGTAATGTAGGAAGCGTTATTATGGATTATGGACTCGTATTTTAGCCGGAAGCAAATTTTATTACAAAAAATACAGCTTTTTGTGTCACAAGACATTAATCGATGGAGCTGTTTGAACTTTCGTTCTGACGGCACCCATTCACTGTAGAGGATAGATTTTCATTTTTGGGTAAACTATTCATTTATAAGTAACATTTTGGCTTATGTCTAAAGAAAATATATTATTTAAGTGTATGGTCTTTATAAATAAATTCTATTTTTACTTTGTATGAATGCTTTTGTCTTTGGGAAAATAAATATGTTTGCTTAATATCAAATCAAAATGTAATGTTTGACCAAACCGTAAATATAATTTGAGAAAAACTAATACATTTGGCTTAAAGTTTTATGAAAGTAAGTTATTGTTTTTTTTAGTTTTTTTAAGTTGGTCTAAAGTATAATATTTTTCAGATTAGTTAATTTGCTTTTTTAACATTTTACAACCAACAGTTATGTCGTAGTCTCTGCCTATCCGGTAGTCCATGTACATGTAAAAAGTGGAGAAAAGCCCAAAAAGCACATTTTCTTTTTCTGTGCTTTGTAATTTAGTAATTAGTAACTAATTCCATGGACTGAATGAATTACGTGACACAAAATCCCACAAATTTCATAACAAATTCAGTTATACCTTAATGCATTTGACAGTAGCAACTAAGATCAGCGCTTCATTTTGTGCACAAAATTATTAAACGAAAAACATTTGTACATTCCATTTCACGATTCGCAAAATGTCACAAAATGCTCATTCTGTAGAGGACATATCATCTTTTATCGAAGTGCATATTCCATTCACAGAAAGAGCATTTCAGGTCACATTTGGCATCCCATCGTGTAGCGTGCGCTCAAAACGGTCTTTTAGTTTCAGCTACATATGAAACCAAGCTCCATCAAAGCCCAAAAGAGAGACAGGCGTTTGGAGTCGTTCCAAAAGCCTGACTCATCTACAGTTTTGTCATGTTTTTGTATACTTTGTGATTTTACGCAACTGTAATTCTCAGTAATTCCATGGTAGTAGCATGCCCAAGCCTGAGAAAATCCCTCTCTCTCCTCCTCCCGCGCTGCGAGAAGAGACAGAAGCAGCTTAACATTTAAAACACAGATGTATTACGTCGGAACACAAAGATAAGAGAGAAAAACTAATGCTTTATGAAGCTTAAATTGCACACACTCCTTGATATCTCGGTCTTTCAAATCTGCATGTATTTCCGAACCACGTCTGTTTCCCAGAAGCCCCTTCTTAGTGAAGGGAAAAGCACCAGAAGGCAGTAGGACAGCACACATTCGGTAAAGAGAGAGACTTACAGGAGCACTGTGAAAGTAAAAAACGCAAAAAAAACATTAAGTGTAAAATGTATTCCATAAGCTTAGACTTGGAGCACATGTTGTATCCTGTGGCTTTATCCTCACATGGAGCTCAGCAGGAAAGAGATGAATAGTCTGTCTATAAATAAGTGAGTAGGATGTGTCCTAGTGAGTGTGTACGGCGATTTTGGCAGTTGCTACACACCCTTGTCAGAGATGCAAAAATTCGCCTTTGAGGCTTGATTGTTTGTTTTATGCTTCAAAAAATAAATGATTGCACATTTTGTTCCCTCAGGTAAGCATTTGGTTCAAATTCAGGGAAAGCACTCAGAACATCTCATGAAGGGCAGCCCAAGTTCAAGGTATTCACAGGCTTTGTCTTTACATTTCAAAAAATTGACCCTTATGACTGGTTTTGTGCTCCAGGGTCACATATGTGTTCATGCTTCACAGAAGGAAGCTGAGATACTCATCCTGTGGTGCGAGGAAAGGGAGCAACGCAGAGAAAGACCCATCAGCCGGCGAACTTCAAGCAGAGCAGCAAGAAGTTTCCATGCGATGGCACCGCATCCCAGAAAGCCCTCTCCTGCGCCGCCTGGACAAGATCAAGAGTTCAGAGTGTAACAGTTCTGATGAACTCACGAACCCTCTTTCAGAGCAGGAGGACAGTGCGTATCGTTCCAGCATCAGTGAAGTCGCTCCGCACGAGTCTCCAGCTCCTCCGCAGCCGAGAGAGGAGCCAGCCACAGCTCCATCCATGCAAACTCACTCCAAACATGCACAGCGACCCATCGAGATAAAGACGCCACCCTTCCGTCATGCCACCAGGCGAATGGAAATCAACGGCACGTGCCCGAGCTCATCAGACGCGAGCTCAAAATCGGGTTCGGACCAGGAGAGAGGGGAGCAGGTGTCTTGTGGTTGGGATAAGCCGTCGGCTTCAGCATCTGGAGTAGCACTGACGACTTATTTCTCGGTGGATAATTGTATGACAGACACCTACAGACTAAAGTATCACCACCAGAGGCCGCTAGTCCTCTCCATGCCTGAGCCCAGAGGAGCTGTGAAGGACGGGAGAGACACGGGACAATCTGAGCGTGCCAAAAATAAGCTTGACTCTGGTGTGTTAAAGCTCCGCTGATCTCCTCATTCAGTCATTGAGAGGCTATCGTGTTCAAAAGTTTGGGTCAGTAAGAAAAGTCTCTTCAAATAGATTTGATCAAAAATACAGTAATATTGTGAAAAAAGTTTTTGAAAGAGGTCTCTTCTGCGCACTGAGGTTGCATTTATTTGATCCAAAATACAGTAAAAACGGCAATATTCTGAAATATTATTACTATTTAAAATAGCTGTGTTCTATGTGAATGTATGTTAAACTGTAATTTATTTCTGTGATGCGCAGCTGTATTTTCAGCATCATTACTCCAGTCTTCAGTGTCACATGATCTTCAGAAATCATTCTAATATGCTGATTTGCTGCTCGAGAAACATTTCTGATTATTATCAGTTGTGCTGCACAATATTTTTGTGGAATCTGACTTTTTTTTTTCGGGATTCTTTGATTAGAAAGTTCAAAAGAGCGGCATTTATTTGAAATGTGTTAATTTTGTAACATTGGAGATGTCTTTAATGTCACTTTAGTTCACTTTGATACATCCCATCCTTACTTATCTTACTGATCTCAAACTTTTGAACAGTTGTGCATGTATTTAATAACTCGTTAACTGTAGTTAGTAGCTTAACTAAACTAAATTATTTTTTCCAGGCAATAGCAACAGTAAGCCCACTGCTAAATGGCACCCTGTCACTTCAAAAGGGCTGGATGAACATGGCTATTTGTGAAAGTTATGGTAAGTTCTCACTAAACTTTCAGATATTGTTTTTTTTTCTGTCGGTCCAAATCCACGAGTTTAAAAAGCACTATTTTTGTAACAACTAATAACTAATAACATTTATTAGTTATTGCGGTTACACTTTATTTTAAGGTGTGCTTGTTACAATGCAATTATACATTTAAGTACTGAGTAATATTAATTAACTACATGTACTTACTATATGGTTAGGTTTAGGATTAGGGTTTCTTACATGCAATTATGCATAATTAATTGTTATTATAATAGTAAGTGTAACAAGGACACCTTAAAAAAGTGTTACCGTTATTGCATTAAATAACACAAACTAGCAATGAACACATTTAGAGAATGAATTAATTTAGATTAATATTAATTTACACTTAAGAAAGTGCTAGTGCATTTGTATAAAGTTGTATAAACAGTCCTGTTCTCACTAAATATTAACTGACTTTTGCCTGAAGAAACTCCTAATGTGCTGCTTATTAATAGTTAGTAAGCTAGTTGTTAAGTTTAGGTATGGGGTTTAGGATTAAGGGATCTAAAATATGCTCATGCAGAATAAGGCATTAATATGTGCTTTATAAGTACTGATAAACAGACAATAATATGCATGCTCTTACATGCAATTATGCATAATTAATTGTTATTATAATAGTAAGTGTAACAAGGACACCTTAAAAAAGTGTTACCGTTATTGCATTAAATAACACAAACTAGCAATGAACACATTTAGAGAATGAATTAATTTAGATTAATATTAATTTACACTTAAGAAAGTGCTAGTGCATTTGTATAAAGTTGTATAAACAGTCCAGTTCTCACTAAATATTAACTGACTTTTGCCTGAAGAACTCCTAATGTACTGCTTATTAATAGTTAGTAAGCTAGTTGTTAGGTTTAGGTATGCGGTTTAGGATTAAGGGATCTAAAATATGCTCATGCAGAATAAGGCATTAATATGTGCTTTATAAGTACTGATATGCATGCTAGTAAGCTACTAAGCTACTAGTTAATAATGAGAATTGCTTCCTAAACTAAAGTGTTACTTCATAAAATGAACATGAATCTTATTATTCATAATCAGTTTATAGATGAGCAATGAATGATTATTATTTGAACCTGAATTACTGAATGCAGTAAAACAGTTGTTCAGAGTTAGTTAATGATGCATACTAACTAATGTTAACCAATCCTTATTTTGTAAAGTCATAGATCATAACGGCCGAGATAAATATCAGTCGTCTACTTTACTGCAGTACAATGTTTAAAAACTGTATCTAGATTCTAGAGTGTCAGACCGAAATGTGGACAATGTAAGTTTCTCTTGATCTGAAAGATCTTTTTATCTGAAGTCTGGAGTCTTTTTATCTGAGCCTGACAACCAGACTCATTAATCAAATGTTTTACACACGCAACACACTAGTCTGATAAATGAGAAGGATAATTTGTAACTTTCACTGTTCTACACTTCCTGTTGCTGTTTCATATACATTGTTACAATGTAACATTTCATTCGAATAGAGCAGAGCCAACACAGTGCAGTGCATATATCAGCCATTTTTCATCTAAATAACACACAGCGGAGAATTGTGCTGAGAAAGACCATAAAGGATCATGTAGTGAAGCAAGTAAGCTTCAGGCAGGCAAGCGTTTAGCTGAGCCCAGCAAACAAAGATTGTTACAAGGCAGATGCTGCATGCCATGCACTATTATTTTGATAAAGGACGTGAAAGGAGGCAGGCTAGTGGTGAGAGCATCATAAAAATACTGAAAGGTGAATTTCTTGCCATAGTTAGCTGGATTAATGGTATGAGTTTGTTTGTCCTAAATATACGTTTGTCAAGGAAAATGCAAACTGTTAACAGTAAGCAAACACAGTGAGCACTACTGTGTTATAAAAACAAACAAACAACCAAGACACTGACTGAATTGGGAACAGCGTACTAGCATACTAGTGCTGGTTGGTATGACCAAAAATTTATATCACGGTATTTTTCAAAATGATACCGGTTTTACGGTACATGACGGTATTTTTTTTTCATGTGGATATTTGTGGTGGTCAATGTGGATATTGTGGATGAGTTCTTCTGTGTCATCACGTTCTTTTAGTTCTACAGCTTCAGTTTCGGAACTTTCATGCTTAGTAACACATACAGCTGTTCCCTCACCACAGTGCAGCAGTGAAAAGGGACCCCTTTCAAACAGTGTCACGTTCCGAACGTTGTTTAAGCGACATACACCGGTATTGCGGTATTTTAAAAATTCATATCATAACAAAAATAAACACCGGTATTCGGTATGAACCGGTATACCGCCCAGCACTAAGTCTTACGATTTCTGCCATGTAAACGTATGGTAAAATAGTAAGAATATATGCTAGTGTGCTGCAGTGTTATTGTTCACTAAATCTATTAAAAATAATATTCATTAATTGAAATAAAGCTGAAATCAAATATAAACATTAGATGAAAAACATGAAATAAAATAAGTTGGTAACACTTTACAATAAGGTTCCATTAGTTCATGTATTAACTAACATGAACAAACAGTATTTATTCATCTTTGTTAATGTTAGTTAGTTAGTTGTTCATTGTTAGTTCATGTTAATTCACAGTGCATTAACTAATGCTAACAAGCACAACTTTTGTTTTTAATAATGCATTAGTAAATGCTGAAATTAACTAAGATTAACAAATGCTGTAGAGGTATTGTTCATGCTTAGTTCATGTTAACTAATGAAGCTTATTGTAAAGTGTCACCAATAAGTTAAACTACTAAAATTACTAAAACTGAAAAAGAAAAAAAAAATTAAAGCTAAATAGAAAACTAATAAAAAGGATAACTAAGCTAATCCCTAATATTAATAAAACTATAATAGTATATAAATAATACTAAAATAACACTAGTGTGCTGTTCTGAGTTTAGCCATAGGTTGACTAGTTTGTGAAAATGTGCTTTGAGATAATAATAATAATAAAGAATGAATAGGTGTGTTCAGACTTTTGACTGGTACCTTATGCATTTAAAAACATCCATCCGTTCTCCAACTATGTGTATGTAAACACAATGCCGTATAATCAGTCTTCTTTCTCATCAGGTCCTGGTGACCCACTGAGCCGTAATGCAAGAGAATTGCCAAAGAAGTTGAACAAATATGGATCATATTTGTGATGCTCAAGTATCTTCTAAGAGCCATCCACAGGGGGGCAGTATGCACTTTGGCTTGAATCAGTAATTGCTTGTGAACAGGAATGACCACTTTATGCTGAATATCGAATCCGTTGATTATCTTTTACTGAATTGTGACAGCTAATACAGTATATATACATCTAAAAGAAACAGTTTTCCTAGTCTTAAAGACAAAGAGTGTGTCCTCGACTTTAATTTCAATGCAAATGGACCTTTGTACATGCTCCCTAGAGGTTGTGTGTGGAGTGCCTTCATGCAATTTTTTTTCATGCAAAATATTGACATGATTCAGAGTAAATGAATAATGTAAAATGATATCCGCTATATATTTTTGGAGATGTCTATGCAGTTATTTTTATTCTTTGTTTAATAAACCTCAAATGTTCAATCACTGATGCAACCTGCTTCTTTGTGTTTATTTTTTACTTCTTAAAAAAAATTGAAATAATTTCATTCGACAATTTCATTCACAACACAACACATACTGCATAAAAATAAAAACGGTTCGCAAAAGGACGTAAAAATGGCTTTATTACCATAAATATCAAAACTCACAGTGTAATACATACATGCTTTGTAAACTTTAGGGCTGCCAATTGTTAAAACACTTATTATCAGGTTGAATATCCACGGTTGCGACACACAATAGATTCAATAGAGTTGTCATTTAGAATTTTTTGGGAATGCTGATGTTATTTTAACCCCTCTTGAAAATCCTCTTGGCCTCGATTCCTTCATAGGTATAGGTCTGTAAGCAAAAAGCGTAAGGCAACACAAGTTCACAGCATTTACACATTGCGATTTGAGGATTTGTCTTGAACAGCAGCTCACCTGTACAAGTTCTTCAGCGATGATCTTCCTGGTTGTTATTAGCAACTTTCCGTTGTCCTTGCGTGTGAACGTCCCCTTAAGCGTGTCACCCTCCATGACCCAGGATCCCTGCAATCAGAAGGTCAAAGGTCAGACTCATTTTGAACTGAGCAGCGAAAGGTCGAGTCGATCAGTGACGGACTGCTTCTCCAGGAGGCTCGTATAGGCGTGAACATTAGAAAAGCATCAGTTCGCAGCATTCAGTAAATGTACATTTGGCGCTGATTTAACACAAAAGAGTTACAACATCTCAATTCAGAACTGCTCAACATGCATCTCAACTTTTGCGCCTGATCATTACACTCTCAGAAAAAAAGGTCCAAAAGCCATCACTGGGGCGGAACCTTTTCATAAGGCACACATTTGTTTCTTATTTACCCTTAAAGGTACATATTAATACCTAAAAGTGTACATATTATCTAAATGTTGAAGTGGTGCACTTTTCCAAATATGTGCCTTTAAAGTACACATACGCACCCTTTAAAGATAAACAAGGCACAAAGGTGTACGTTTTGAAAAGGTATCACCCCAGTGACAGCTTTTGTACCTTTTTTTTCCTGAGAGTGTACATGCTTAAAAATAAAAGGAGCTTTTTGCAGCAACGAACCATTTTGGGTTCCCAAATATATTTCTCAAAATAACCATATGCATGCCTATTTAGTGTTAAGAACGCTTTATACAATCTTTCCGCTATTAAGAACCTTTTTGTGCAATGGTTCCAAGGACGTTAAAAGGGTCTTTATGGAATCACGGATTGAAATAAAGAACCTTCAGAGTGTCTAAGACTGAAAACGCCTCTGAAATCTGAACGGGTTGTGCTTACTGTGAGCTCAGTGCCGTCTGCCATTGAATATTCAAAGTTGACGCCTAGAGTAAAGTTAATTTCCACCGTGCGGAAAGTGCTGACTTCCTTCAGGTGGAACTTGTCTCCGGTCTGTTCCACAGTGATCTTCAGGTTGTCATGAGACGCTAGTTTCCTCTTAACCATGTTGATGCCTGTTGAAGACATGCAGTACACGTGCACCTCATAAACAATGCCCCGCTGAATCACTCAACAGGTTCAGAAAGAGAAGATTCCAGCAGCATTCATGTCCACTTACCCATTTCCTCCATGAACTTCTCGTAGTTGTCATTGCGGTCGACTTTCCAGGTCCCGTTGAAGGCCATGATGACAGACTGCTGTGATCCTGACAGTGGCCTAACTTTACCCCGAGTCTGTCTTTTATACCTGCGTGAGTCTCTTATCGGAGTATTATCTTCATGCTGATGTGGCGGAGTAAAGCTCAGAGTATAAATCTCACCATGCATCACACATCCCAACATGCCTCGCTTCTTCATTGATTGAGGCTTCAAGTCGTTCTGTAAGAACAAGCGCTCGCTTGTATTGTCCTGCTTTTATCTGAATTGTTTGCTGTTTAAACTGTGTAGGGTGTGTCTGTTCACTAGTTGAACAGTTAAACTATGAATGGTGTGTTTAAGCAATGCATTTTAGCATTTAAGTGTAATTCGACTTCTGTTGTGCTTTTTAACCCTATTGAGAATGGTGAAAGTTGCATGGCTTTTCTTCTCCGTATGTCATGACTGCATGCACCGTATGCGTTCACTCTTTCTGCTTACAGTGATTCAAATATTGAGTGAGAAGAGCTGAGGCATATTTACTAATAATGTACATATGTGAGCCTGGAGCACAAAAGCAGTGTTAAGTCACTGGGGTATATTTGTAGCAATAGCCAAAAATACATTGTATGGGTCAAAATTATACATTTTTCTTTTATGCCAAAAATCATTAGGATATTAAGTAAAGATCATGTTCCATGAATATATTTAGTACATTTCCTACTGTAAATATATCAAAACTTAATTTTTTGATTAGTAATATGCATTGCTAAGAACTTCATTTGAACAACTTTAAAGATGATTTTCTCAATATTTAGATTTTTTTGCACCCTCAGATTCCAGATTTTCAAATAGTTGTATCTCAGCCAGATATTGTCCGATCCTAACAAACCATACATCAATGGAAAGCGTATTTATTCAGCTTTCAGATGATGTATACATCTCAATTTCACAAAATTGACCCTTATGACTGGTTTTGTGCTCCAGGGTCACATTTAAGCCAATAATTGTACAAGGCCTGCCAAATATGAAATCAAAGCAACATGTGGTGTGGAAATTTCATCTGGAGACTCCACGACAAGATAAAGCGATATCAAGAGACATGATAATCTCTGATAATGCTTTATTTGATCATTACCTCAGGCTTAATCTCTCAACAGTGCAATATAATGAGACCTCTGAAGACCTTTGCTATCGTCCCATTGCAAGACCTTTGGTATCGTCCCCTTGAAAGCAAAGATAAGAAAAGCTTTCAACTGAAAACTAATTTATGATATATATGGTTTAGAAAAGTTCAAAAAGCTGTGGTTATACGTTTACCTTGCAGAGTCTGCAAAATGTTAATAATTTAAACTAAAATAAGAGTGATACTGTTTGTAAAAACTGTTAATAAGAGTTCTTTAAAAGAAGTCTCTTATGCTCAACAAGGCTGCATTTATTTGATCAAAAATATATTAAAAATAGTGAAATATTATTTCAATTTAAAACAGCTGTTTTCTATGTGAATATCTGTTAGACTGTAATTTATTTCTGTGATCAAATCTGAATTTTCAGCATCATTATCAGCATCACACGATCTTCAGAAATCATTCTAATATGCTGATTTGCTGCTCAACAAACATTTATTATTATTATTATTATTATTATTATGTTGAAAACAGTTGTGCTGCACAATATTTTTGTGGAAACTGTGATACATTTTATTTTTCAGGATTCACAGATGAATAGAAATGGGAAAAACATAATTTCTTTGAAATATACAATATATGCATCATAACACTAACAGACTTTTGCCTCAATAAACTCCTAATGTGCTGCTTATTAATAGTTAGTAAGGTAGTTGTAAAGTTTAGGTATTGGGTGGATTAAGGGATCTTTGCAGAATAAGGCATTAATATGTGCTTTATAAATTCTAATAAACAGCCAATATTGTAGTTAATAGTGAAAATTGCTCCCTAAACTAAAGTGTTACCATTTAGTTGTTTAATTTATTTATTTATTGCTTGCATATGTGGTTTTAAGTTATGTTCATACACTGAAGGCTGCAAATGATCTGCTTTATTCCTGCAGTTTTTCTTCTGTGAAACATGAAAGGCTGTTTAAGTCATGCTATCTTCCCATTGACGTTTAGTTCAGACCCTTTTCAAAACAGTTTGTTTCTATGATGTTTTAATCTTTTTATGAAATAATCAGTTGTCTTGCTGCACATGGCACGGTGTTTATGTCCAGAAGATAATGATTAACTACAAAATCTATAATTTACAAATGAAAGATGATTTCTCTAAGATGGAAGTGTAAATATTAAAAATATTGGGACGGTTGCCTCATTCATGTGTGCTTTAGTATTTATTAATGTCTGACTGTAAAAACTGTGTTTTGACTGTATGTTTGTATTTCAATTAGACAGATTTATGAATATGTTTAGGTGCATAAAATAAAGCGCTCATTAATATTTTTAACCGAAATAAGAAAACTCCAACCAACCAGACTATGCATATCTCTTAAATAATATTTTAATGCAAGACTTAAATATATACAGCAAACAGCGGTGCACAGAAAAGCATTGTACGATACAGAGCTCTATCTGTGAGATTCAATGAATACAAACTCGAATACAAACAGATGCACTTTTCAAATGGTTAATACTCACTTAGAAACTCGTTTAGAATCTATTCATTCACGCAGTAACGACTCCTCATAGCAACACAATAGCATATACTAAATTGTGATCTTAAAATAGCTTATATCTTCATGTTTGGCAAATTCTCTGATGCAATGAAAGAGTGTAAATATGATTCCAATGTGCAGGCATTTTTATTGTTTACAGCATGCATCTGTCTAGCGAAATTAATTATAGAGTATTTCCAATATAATACATGTGACTCATCTGCAGGTTTATTTCTCAATTAATGTGCACAATTAAAACAAAAACAGTGTTTTAGGTATTTCGAACACTCTAAATACAGACAAAGTGAAATAACTTGTTTTGCTCAGTGATGAAAAACAAAAGTCATCTGAATACTCTCGCATACTCTGCTATAAAATGATGGAAATAAACACTTGATGAGCACGTTTGCATGTTGCATAGAGTATCTGTACCATGTATTTATTCAGATGTTTTTGTATTAAATCAATTCAATAGTTGGCACCCAGAGTACACACATTAGCGCACTAACACACTAAAAACGGTCTTTTATGCGTCCGTTAGGTCTTACGTGAGAGAAACCACACTTTCATTGGCTCTTTTTTTCCTTTCATGGTTACAGGTCCTCTGTACTCCAAACGAAACTGAGGATCAGCGTTTTCCACCGACTGCAAACACCTGAACCGAAACAACACAATAACAACATTCAATTTATTCACACAAAAATCTTTCTTTATTATATTATATTATATTATAGGTGACCCTGGACCACAAAACCGTGTCAATTTTTCAAAATTGATACACCATCTGAATGCTGAATGAGCTTTCCATTGATGTATGGTTTGTTAGGATAGGACAATATTTGCTCGGGATACAACTATTTGAAAATCTGGAATCTGAGGGTGCAAAAACATCTAAATATTGAGAAAATCATCTTTAAAGTTGTCCAAATGAAGTTCTTAGCAATGCATATTACTAATCAAAAATTAAGTTTTGATATATTTATGGTAGGAATAGGAAAATATCTTCATGGAACATGATCTTTACTTAATATCCTAATGATTTTTGGCATAAAAGAAAAATCTATAATTTAGACCCATACAATGTATTGTTGGCTATTGCTACAAATATACCCCAGCGACTTAACACTGCTTTTGTGCTCCAGGGACACATCACATTATATTATATTATATTATATTATATTATAAAGTCATTTTGGTTGATACAGAAGCCCTGTCTTACAATCGTGACTTTGTATCACGCAATTCTGAGAAAAAAGGATTTTTTGTGAATTTTGAGATAAAAAGTTGCAACATCTAAATCAATTTTAATGAATGTCTATTTATAATTTGAAATGTATATCCTTTGGCTATTTCAGTATGTATATATATATGCTTTGTGTAGCATCACTGAATCAACCGAAATGCATTAATTTATACCAACAAAATACTTGTTTATAGGTTAAATCAGGTAAAAAAAACAATTGCTCTGTAATGTTACTTTTTACAGTGTTTTAATAACCTTCAAAAAGTACAGTATATTAATTGCACACTGGCCATTTCATGAAAATACAAACACAGTGGGAAAAAATGGTATAGAAACTACTTTCACTCAGAAATTGCTAGTATACTTTTCAAACAGTTAAGGAGAAAATTGAATTAAATATAAAATGTTGAAGTAGAAATACATAGTCCAATAATCTTTTTTATTTGTTTTTATTTAAAAAAAAAAAATTATATATATACAGTATATATATATATATATAGTGCAGATTTCTATCATTCCGGTTTCTCTCACCTGTATGTGTACTCTGACACATTTATCTTTCCCTTCTCTCCTGTGGTCTCTGTACGACTTGTCAGGTTGACGGTGTTTCCAAACAGGCAGTAACGGGGCATTCTTTGACCTATGACCCCTGTGACCACCTCTCCTGTGTGGATTCCAATGGTGATCTGCTCCAAAACATAACAGTTACATGGGCAATGTGTGAAGCCTGAAAATATGTAAACACATTCTTACATAACCCATTAGCATTCACATCGTCTTTAACAATTCAGACATATTTATTCGGGAGAAATCGGTGTCTTTCTTTCATTTCTTTCTTGCATTTCTTTCTTGCATTTGTGTTTCCAGCATGCCTCTTGAGCGAGACCGTTTGTACGTGCCAGAGCTGAGCTAACCGGCAGAAAAAAGTTCATGTGGGTGTATTTTTAAACACTGAAAGGAAGGATGATCTGACGGTGTCTCCCTTTGCCAGACTGTGCTTAATTTTGTGTGTGTGTGTTAGTGTGTGTGTGAGTGTGTGTGTGTGTGTGTGTGTGTGTGTGAGTGTG